ATAATAAGTCACATACATCCCATGCAGTTTTTTCCAGAAGCAAATTTTCTAAGGCTTATAAAAAAGTACTATTGACCACTACTAAATACAACCTCTACATAAAATGTTAATTAGTATAATCAGCACCACCCACGTTCATATTGTAAAATCCAGAGAACAACGTTTTGTCATGTGCTTTGCTTATCATCCTATGATTTGTCAAACGTGAAATACAGCAATTGGAATAACATGGTACTAAAATTGGCACTTTCGACTAGGATTGTCTAAAAGTTTTAAAAAGTAGAAAGAACATGGGAGAAAAAACAGAACCACAGCGAAAAAGGTAAAAGGTAGTAAACAAGGCTTTCCAATAGCTTGTGAGGGTAGAAACTAGCAAACCTTGATCAAACAACCAGGAAAAGAAGGTCAAAAGGTGGGCAACAGTAGGATAGCCTGGTGGTAGAAAGCAGCATAAAATGCACCACTTCCATTGATAGATAGAGAATAGAGGGGTGATATGAACAAAATAATAGAAGGGCAACATGAACAGAAAAACCTGACTAGCAAACAAGGGATCAAATACATCCTACAGTAAGTGGGTCAAAAACAGAAAGTATAACATGCAGAAGCAAACATCCCTGAAGCAAGTCCCATCCTGATGACTGATATGGAAAATAAATGTAGAATTGTTGATGTGGATTATAAAAAAACTGATTCCTAAGACAAGGTAGGAAGTTGAAACACTTACAAAGGTAGGCCAAGATTTCGAGAACACTGATGTGGAAGGTATGTTCCACAGGAGACCAAACCCTCAAGACCATGAAGTCATAAGAGATACATTGGCAAACAGATGGAAATCCTGATGGGGGTTGCCAGTGGGATGCTGACCAATGTATTAGCATGATCCAGCCAGCAAGACAGGTCTTCAAGAAGAGAAGGTAGCAGCATCACAAGAGAGGATGGTGGATTGCAAGAGATTTTCCATTGGTCACTCTAAGTTCATCAAAAAAGCCTCATGTGAACCCTCATGTGCAAAAGTCCCAAGAAGAGATAGAACCTCTCAAGCAGCAAGTATAGAAAAAGCAAAAGTTGAGGTGACTAGATAATCCCTATTCTTCAGATTAATGTGGGAAGGCTGAGCATGAATGGGTGAAGAACTGAAAAGGTCTCAAAGATGGACCAAGCATTGAATTTGAGTCAGGAAGGAGGTGGAATATTTGACCATCCAACTCAAATGAGCTGCCTGTTGGAGAATTTAACAAGAAGAGACAAGGAGGGCCAGTTATCCACGTAACAATGGAAATGAAATCCAAGACTATGGGACTCAGCAAGCAAATGCACCCATGGCTTTGGAGTCAAGACATAAGGAGCCAATGCAATGCCAAGAAGAAGAACTTGAAACTGATATACCCTTTTCTGGTGAAACGAAAGGAAGGAAATAACACTAGGGCATGGCAACTGGAACATGGATAAAAGCATCTGAGACATTGACCTTGGCCATCTTTAGTATGGGGGAAAAGAACCAATGTAAAGCAAGAAATCCCTCCATCTTAAGTCAAGGAACCACCAGATAGTGTTTGAGATAGAAAAAGTTGATAATTGGACTCCAGTCCTCAGTCTTTTAGGGGACAACAAAAATATGAGAATAAAACCTTGAAAAAGGGAAAACAACCCTCTCAACGGCTCTCATGTCCAAAAGATCTGATATTGAGGTATCGAGATACAAAGGATACTGAGGTCCAGAAGGAGGAGGAAAAGGAATGTGAAAAGAGGAAGAGGTGAGAAGTGAACTGAAAGGATGAGTGTAAGAACCTGAATGACCTACCAGTCAGTTTCAGAAGAGGTTTCCAAGATCTGCAAACAGAAAAAGACATGTTCCTACAGGGTCTGAACTGACTGGGAACAAAGAGAGGGAGTTACTGGCAGGACGTGCAACAGCTAATCTGATAAGAGGAGGGATGGTGAAAAGTAGGAAAAGAGAAAGGTGGAGGGATCATGGGGTCAAATAACAGGAACAGACTAACAAGAATGTGAAAGACAGGAAACCAAAGAGGAGGGGGGGCTGGTGTCAGGCAGCCTTTGTCTGATTCTCCAAGGTATTAGGAACACTTCCAAAGACTTCAAAGACCTCAAGGTAAAGAAAAGGAGAAAAATGAAGATTGCAGAAGTAAGAATGGAGAAAATGAACAGTAGAGAAAGGGAGCATCACATCCCAACAACAAAGGAACCAATTAAGTAGGGACAAAGTTATTTAAAGGACCAACTGCTGATTGCCTGAGAAAAAGAGAAGAAACCAAATAATCCTCAGTGTTAGAGTCATTTAAGGAATTGGAAGAGTCAAATGACACAGTAGAAAAGTAATGAAACAAACCTGAGTAATCAAATTCACAAAAAGATTTGAAGGAGGAACACTGTCCTCAAAAGATAGAGGCAAGAAAGCATCAAAGAACTTAATATACGATAAGCTGTGTACTATGGTGGTAACATCTTTCAGAGTCTAAGAGTCTCCAGTGATCATAGGCAAAGTAGGTGTAGTGTTAACAACAACATCAAAACCTCTATAAGAGATAGTAGTCACTGTCATTTGAGAATTCATGGTTTTTGTAGCAATTCATTAGATCAAAATCTTTTTTGTTTGAGTTATTTAGTGGTAATGTAGTTTGAAATCAAAGTTAAAATAAACTAAAGGGAAATTAAAGAAGGTTAACAATGTCAGAAAGGCTGTGCAAATATCACAAATTTTTTTAAGTTTAAAAGTAAAGAAATACGTGTGTTAGAGACAGTGCCGAGAATAAGAATGAAGTTAATTTCAAGGCTTCTGATATTCTGGACTAACAGTTATTGGAGAAATACTAGCTAACTTAGGATTAGAGACAAAAGAATTTTGATATTGTGAACTATACCAATTATTCATGAATTCCTTTTAGACAAGATCATTAGTATCTGTTTGGCCACAATATTAGAACCTTTTTACTTCTAACTGTCAGATAAATATCCTTCATGTATTTAGTCTGTACGTGATTCATATTGTGAACTAATAAGAGTGAAGAAAAACTACTGATATTATTTATGGAAGATTAAATTCATGAACATTAGTTAACTTACAATTTGATACAAAAGACTTGTATGATATTTTGGACTAACAGTAAGCTAAAAAATGCTACTAATAATAATACTTACAAAAGTCTAAATTCACAAAGATTAGTAACACATATTTAGTGACAAAAGGATTCTGATATTATGAACTTGCTTTTTTGTTAAAAACACTAAAGTTACTGTTTACTTGAGACAAAATTCATAAATGTCAATTAACTTACAGTTAGTGATAAAGGGGTTCTCATATTGCAAACTAATTATTAGTTATGATATTGTTCATAAGATACTAAATCCATGATTATTAGGTTACTTATAGTTAAACATATATAAGGTTTATGACTATGTAAACTAACAGTGAAGAAATGTTATTAATGTTGTTTAACATACTAAATTCACAAACATTAGGTAACTTACAGATAGAAACAGAAAGGTTTCTGATAGTGTTTTCTATTAATTAACAGTCAGTAACAAAATGTTTTATGAAAATATTGAATTAATGACTAAAAGAAATTTTATAGTCAGTAATAAAAAAGCTTCTAATATGTAATGAAAAAATGCTTTCAGTATAGTTTTCTAGGTACTGAAATTGTAAGCATAGTGAGTGACAAAGACATCTAATACAATGAAATTACAGTCAGTGACAAACATCTTCCAATAACTGGAACATAAATTCAGTAACAAATAGGTTTCCTATACTGTAAACTTATGTCCAAAAATAATATAATTCTGAAATTTTTTTCCAAGAACTGATTTTGTGAACTTAAACATCAGGGACAACAGCTTTTAATATTGTTTTCCAGCAATTGAATTTATGACAGTTTGTTAAAATAGGCCTCTGATATTGTTTTCTATAGATTTACATTACTGAACTTGTAAGCAATGATGAAACACTTAAGATACAATTTTTCAGAGATTGAAATTCCAGTTATTAATGAACTTACAGTTAGTAATGAAAGGTTTTCGATAAGGTTTCCCATTTGAAAAAATTACAGCAAGTGTAATGTACTGAAAAACAGAAACAGCAAAAATAGCATAATTGTCGTGACAAGCCAGGTCATCTTCGTCTTCTGGCACGTGAGGCACATACCTGTAGGATGAAAAGACAGAGTCTGCATCATGTACGTTGAAGTGTGTGTATATATATATATATTATCCATAACTGATTAACAATTATTTTCAACACTGTAACTTCACATTAACCCCTTACACTGAGGGCTCATCAGTCTATATTTAAGTTCTCTCTAGTTTTGTCACTGTTTGAATATGATTATTTATAAATACAAGTAGAGTAACAAGCAAAGAAATTTAACTACTGTGAAATGTTTTAACCAATTTCTAATGAGAATGAAAAAAAAAAGAAGACATTTTCACTAGTTTTATCCCAAATTTAATACTTGTTAATAAGTACTCTGTTAAGTACTCTGAAAAATTCCTGGGAAAATGTATTGAGATAAAAACCGAAAATGTGGAATGCTGAGGCTGACTAAAAATGTATTCATCTGAGAATATACAGAGAATCTTAGGTTTGTTTCTATTGTCCTTCAGGTGGATTTATGTTATTTGTCTCAAACCACAGCTACAAATAGTATACTGTTTGGCATACAGAAAAAATTTTTGGCCTTGTCCCATATGATTCCATCAATGCAGATATCACAGCAAGACTAAAATGATACATTAATGCAATGCTCCCATAACTATTAACTAAATAAAAAAACAATCATTGTGATATTTATTATTTCCCTATTTTAGTGGTTGAGATGAAAGTCAAATCCAAAGTATTCTTCAGGTTGCTATCACATTCAGACTTGCCCACCTTAAGCAAACAATTAGTAGCAGTGTTTATTCATCCTTATTTTTGTTTATCTTAGTTTCAATGCTCAAGGCACCAAAAGTGTTTACATAATGTTTTTAGCAGCAAAGAGGTATCTGTACACAAGAATATGCTGATTTAAAAGCCATTACCCTTGGAAGGAAGAATTATCGTAGCTAGTTTTCCTTTTCAAAGTAAATTTATGAGGTTGCATCATAAGAAGATTAATTAAATTTCAGTGACTGGACCAATATACATTTTTCAACTAAAAATAAGATATCTAAATTTTAAAGAAAAACTTAATGTTTTTGGGAGTCACTATATATACACAATGCTTGTGAAATACTGGTATATAATGTATAGTGCTTGAGACTGTAACGATTATTTATTTCAGGATTGGAGGTTTAAACTAGGATAATATATTGTTATACGCACGAAAAGTATTTCCTTCAAGTTACGAGTTTGTCCAAACTTAAGTTGCATCCCTTGGCACACTGTTGCATGGGATTTAATAAGGTCAACAGTTGTCTCAGATAACCAGCTGGAACAGAGCTCATAAAGTTCCATAGAGAAATGGGTGTTAGATAACAACAAAAAAAACTCAGACATTTCAGCTTGCATACTTATACCAAAATCAGGGTATTAGAAATGGTTTTTATATTGATATTATTTCTGTACAATTTTGTTCTATCTACATTGAATTGCAATATTATAATTTTTTGTTGGATATTCAAAAATAATCATGTTTGTTTTTGAAATCAGGCATGATTTCTACTTGTATATTCAAATTATAGTTATTGAACCAGAAGACAATTTGTTGTGAGTAAACAAGTTATGAAATCTTCAAGGTTAGTAAAAAAAAGTACCCAAATAAATTATGAAGCCTAAACAAGATTAAAAACTCAGAAGAAACTTAAATGCACAAAAAAGTAGAGACAGTTTTATTTTTTGTTTCAATTAAACTGTAATGTTTAAAGAAAGTTAACAGTTGAGGTTAATTATTTTTCATTCTATGAAGGCTTGCTGATTACTAGTTTCTGTAAAAATATAATGAAGCATAAAAAGTATTTTTACATGTAAAATGGCACTTAAAAGAAGTTACTTTTCATCTTGTTAAATTTTATTGAATACCTTCTTTTTTATTTTCAGTTGGTCGAACAGAAGCCTATGGTACTCTTGTGACAAAGCCTCCTCCAAGTAGCCTAATCAGTATTACTCCCATCATCTCACTGATTTTACAGATTGTGCTTGTTGTTGTAGCACAACTTCTGGGTACTGTGTTACTATGGAATCAACCCTGGTGAGTATTGCATTAAATAATTTAACTGTATTGTCTTAAAACTAGAAGACAATAGATATTCTTTTTTTTCTCTTTCATTCTGAACAAATAAGTTAAGTTTCACATCAACAAAAAAGAATTCCAGTTACCACAAAAATACAAAATCAAATCTGGGGCCAACGTGTCTCATTGATGTACCATACTTTATCCTCATAACTTTGCATCTCTCTATAAGTAAAGAGAGAGAGATGTTTCAAAATGTTTCAGTTTACAAATAAGCCAAACATATTCTGCATCAACATTATGTAAACAAAGAACATATGTGTTCTTCTCTCAATTACTGTGGTCTTTACTAAAAATAAAAACTTCTCAATATTCAAGCCAAAATTTCTAACTAAATTTAAAAATTATCTTTAATATTCTAAAGTCGCATAACTAAATACTTTCCAATAAGTTTATACATCATAGGTGAGTGGTCAGAGAGAAAATTTCTGGAAACCAGCCAAGGTGAGTGGAGAGGGAGGGGTGTCTGTATAGGCACCTGATTGTCTAGATTCATTGTCTGTTGTCCCTGGAAGCTTCATGGCTATACCACTCAACATTCCATTACCTGGCACACCTGATAATGCAAAATGACCCTTTTATTGAAGAAAAAGGGGTCCCCACACACTTGCAAGAGTTTTACAGTTGACGTTTTCTAACCATTCTTATTTTCATGTTTTTTTTATCCCATCATCAGATGATCCTGCACATTTGTTTCATCTTCTCTTTGAATGATGTCAGTCCCTGATGACATTACCTGTCTTTCTAATTCAGTAAACACAAGTAAATGTCTGCTAGAATTCCTATAACAATATTAATAGACTACTAGGTAAGACACAATAATATTGCATATTGATAACAGCTTATCAAATACATAAAGTCAGACATGTTTGCAAAGAAAGAATGCAAGCCATAACTAAAATCATAACTTATTACCATGATCGATCTGCAATTATACATTTAGAGCAATGTGCACCTAATGCTTCAAACTGCATGAAGCCCCGACACATAACATTAGTCTGAATAAAAGCTAAATGTTCATGATTATCCTTTGGTTACATTCAGATATTAAATAATCAGTGGAAACTTACTGTTACAGATTTCAAGTAAGCATACAATGCAAAATATTTTTAACATTACAAAAAAAATTCCATGTTTTCAACTTCAGAGAATGACTTCAGTGAATGAAGACAATTAATAAGTCAAGAATGAACAAAGTGATAAAAGCTTAGCTTGGTGATATGTTATAAGAAAAAAAAAAGGTGTTTGTGAACAACTTCCATGACAATCACATTTTTTTAAAAAGCTTGTTTTATCATTTTATACTTCTTATGAATTATCATACTGTAGTATGATAGGAAAAGAAACATTTTTTTCTGGAACAAGGTAAGGTGGAGATAAGTCACTTTGTATTTGACCATATCAAGTTTTGTTTCATCAACAAGGCCTCTGTATTAGGTCTTGATTACACAAGATGTTATCAATCTAAGTAACTGGAATAGGCAAAGAGAGTCACCAAATATAACTGTCAAAAATAAATATAAAATGGGTTTAAAATTTATTACATTTATTAAGTGAAACTTTTTGATTGACAGTTAAAAAAAAGTTAGCTTGCTTATAATTTTGATATGGTAGATAAGTTATTGTTACATCTCTGCTCGTTTGATAATGTCCGGCAGAAACTCTTCCCGAGAAACTTCAATGATACAAGTCCTTTCTTAAATAAAACTAGTTTATTCTTTCTCAATACAACTTTGCAATACACTTAATTTCCACAGTCACTTAAACACACGCTATAATTCTCAACGAACGATTCATGCACTTTATTTACTACCGCACTTGACTCAATTGTCCGTCTGTATCTTCAATCTCTCTGTCCGCTATTCAATTCCGATTGATTGTCTCGCTTTATCTGGTGCAATTATATACAAGAATAGAGAGCACCTAACAAATACTGGATTATTCGTGATGTTCCCCGATCGTTCTAGAATCTCATGACGTGTTACTAGCATCACGTGACTGTCGTAACATTATTTTTATAGTATGCCAATGATTATAAGCACAGTGAAGTGGCATTCAGTGTTTTTCAAATCAAAATAGATAAGAGTTAGTTTTATAAAATAAAAACTTTGTATGAAATTTTTAAAATGTAGGGAAAGATCAAAATAAGTAATTTAAACCTATAACAAAGGTAAGCATTTTAAACTGTTTCTTAAAAAAACATCAGAATGAAATTTTTCAAAATTTGAAAACTGCAAATTTATACAAATATTATATAAAAATAAGATATTTTATTTCATCCAGTAGTGTTTTTGCTATGCAATAAAACAAGCCATTCAACAGGTGTGTTAAATCAGTGCATGAGCCTCATAAAGTTAGAGCAAGATACTAAAAGTTAATTGAGTAATTAATACACCATTCTTCCTGATATTGATTAGAATTAATTAATTCATCAGTTTGTAAACCTCATTGTTTGCAGTTTTTTACCATAATCCCAAGAGGTTGTGCTAGCTTAGGAAAATTAGGTATAATAAAAAATAAACCTACAACACAGATTGAACACTTTAGCCAATACTGCTTATTAAACTTACAATGAAGAAAGAACAAGATTTAATTTACTTACAAAACTCAATATATATTATGAGTATCCACAAAATACAGCAGTTTGTTTGTTTGTTTTCAATTTTGTGCAAAGCTACACGAGGGCTATCTGTGCTAGCCATCCCTAATTTAGCAGTGAAAGACGAGAAGAAAGGCTCGCCTCCTTGGACGTCGAATCATTATTTACCAATATGCCAGTCCAGGATACGATAGACATAATCTGTGACAACGTTTACAGACACCCGACCATGTCTCCGCCCAAAATACCTGAAGAAATAATGCGTGAACTTCTACTCGCCTGCACTACAAAGTCACCTTTTCAACATATCAATGGTTCGCTATACCAGCAAGTCGACGGATTTGCCATGGGCTCTCCT